TGCTTTCCGTGGCATGGGGGTGAAACAGCGCAAATTTTCCGGACTGCTACTAAGAATTTCTTGATAGAAAAACCCAATAATTGATTTTTACCCGTAACGGCATTCGAACCCAGGACCTCATGATCAGTAACCGCATTTACGATCACTAAACCAGCAAGGCAGTGTGTGTATGTAATATGTATAACAAATATATGCATGTAATGGAATTTTTTATCCTCTCCCGTATGTCTGAATAATCTGAAATTATGCAATATGATGACGAACAATTATTTTATGACTACGACATAGTTGTCATTTTTCATGACAACATCAACAGCAACATTATTTTTTGGCCACGGCTGGCCTTGTATATAAAACGACAGGTGGCAGGCGATGCTCGAAAGATTTGCCCATGCTATGCCCCATTTGACTCCGGGCACTTATTAATTTATTTTTGTCGCAATCTGTGATTGTAACCACATGATCAGCAAAACCACGACCACTCGATCAACCAAGTAGTCAAGTCAACTTTGAGATAAAAGTTAAATGTTTCCAGCTTTTTTCAATGTCAGTACAGTTTGATGTAAGGTCCGACAATCAAAATATAATGAGTGCCTAAGTAGTGAAGTACAATTTTGAAATCCCTAAAAACATCCAAACCATCAAAATTAAACCAGTGCTGCGTATGGGGTTGCCAGTTGGTCGCGATTCATCTGGATTCTCCAGACATTTTAAATGCTCTCCAGACTCCAGACAAAACTCAAAATCTCCAGACTAATAGAGTCTCGAAATTACCATATGGCCTTTGATTTGATAAAAGCTGAGTTAGTAACTTTGAAGTAAATTGTTTGAATTTTAAATCTTTTCTGATTACAACTAAGTAACTGTGAAGTAAATTTTTCGAATTTTAAATCTTTTCTGATTACAACTAAGTAACTGTGAAGTAAATTGTTTGAATTTTAAATATTTTCTGATTATAACTAAAGGATCAAAATTGGTGGACTCCAGTATAATCCAATGCCAAATACATGTGGCAAACTAAAAATTAAGTGTACTTATAAGAGTTTAGTTTAAAGTAATTTTTGTAACATTCTCTCAAAAAAATAAACTTTTTATTTTTAATATTTATGTTTCCCGACAACAAACTCAAGATATTTTCAGATATTTTGGTCTTCCGATCTGGCAAATATATTGTGGGGGCTGGTTTACTCAGTTTCACTATGCGCTGATAAGTACCAAATTTTCTTTTAATTATTTTGAGTGCATTAGAGAACATACTTATGTTGTCGATGATCTATTATTGATTTTCATTCTGTACTATGCTATTTATAATATTAACCTTAAAAATTACAAAAACGAGGATAATTGCGGAGTTACTTTCACCGTTTTTTCTCCGTTATTTAAAAAAAAATAAAAACGAAATTTTATTTCCTTACGTCGAATATATAAACATTTTACATTTCATTTCACAAAAATCCGATGCCAGCAGTATTCAAGCAAGCGTTAATAATTTGAAATAGTTGTGATTATGCGTTCGATGTAATTATTTTAACATCCCCCTCAGTAAGTTTAGGTAGCGAGAACATTCGCTAACGGTGTAATGAATCTATCTAGTGCAGCCTGTCGTTGAATTGCCCCCGACTGAGACCCGCTGAGACGAGTTACTTGGGCGGTGCGGTGTGGTCCAAGTTCTTAGCAGAACTATTGGACTATCAATATGACTTATGGACATTTTTCGTATTCCAAATTTCTTTACTAAATATAAAGAACTTATCAATAAGATACATTTATTTAACTTGATTTAATTCTAAGTACTCTATTAAGTATTAGGTACATTTTGAGTATCTTATTTGGTGTCAAAAGCATATTTCTATGAGTATTTTTCTATCCCATCCAAACGGTTTATTCACCTTACATTTTAGTCATAAATATTATATTTGTGTTTAAGTATGTACATGCCAAAATGGTGGTCTGACTATTATGTAAATATTCCAATTCACCGCGGGAATTGCCTATGACGTATTTCCGTATGGAACTTGCGAATCGGAGGATGTCGGGGGTTTCCGCCTCTTAGACATAACACTCAATTACGGTAGCGTGTTTTGAACGTCTCCGCGCAACGGAGATGAACTCCTGATTTCTCATCATCTTCTACATTGCTCTTTAAGCATACCACGCGTGCATTAATAAAATGGTGTATCAATGAACCTACAGAACCACTAGACTGTATGTGTAAAAAGCACGCAGAACTATCCGCAGTATCCTGGTGACTGTGCATGAGAACTACAGACAACCGTATCGCAGCTATTGGAGCGAGGATCACTTAACGTTCAATAATTCGCAGGTGATACAGGTAAGGTCTCTGAACACGTAATTACACGCTGGTCCTCCGTTTATCTAACTTTTAAATTGAACCAGCCTTTTTTTTTATAAGGTAAGGGTGACAAACGAGCACACAGTCCACCTGATGGTAAGTGGATGCTGTGGCCCATAGACATCTACATTTAACCTCGATTAAGAATCAAAATGCAGATGCGTTGCCACCCTTGAGGACTAAGATGGAATGCCTCGATTCCAGTAAAACGGGTGTCCGGTTCTCTACACTCACCATACGAAACAGCTGCTATTTTACGCTGGTACTCTGTAAGAGCGTGGTCCTTCCCCGGTCGAGCCGATTCATCATGCTACAACCATAATAGCTGGAACGTGGCTCAACCACGCATAAAACTCTACCTAGGCCTCTACCGGAGGCCTGATCTACTGGTATCGCAAGAGACAACACAATATATTCTATAGCACCTGTCATTCCCAAACAATAAATAGCCCCGCGTGTAGTCCTCACAGGCCACAACACATATATACCAATGTGCATTTTTTTATAAAATCGAAATAACAAATGAACTTACGAATACAGTCCATCACACAGATGGTAAGTGGCTACCGTATCGCATTGACGACTGCAACCAACTTCAGATATACAAAGCTACAAAAGCGTATCACTTCGGAGAACTGTGATGGAATATATCACATTTAAACAAAACTAGTTTTTACGATCGCGTATATTAACTTATTTTATATTTCCGACGTTTCGACTTTACAGCACCCATGGTCACGGGGTAACTGAGGTGTTCGATGTCCCAATGTCATATTTAACCACTATTCTCTATTACAACAAAATTGTCAAAAATAATTTGTTATTTAGAATTTTATAATAGGTAAGTTATTTTAGAAGATTTTGACCTAGCATTTCGTCAATTGATACAAAAACGTAGTGATTATATTCTCTTTGATTAAATCAACACAAATGTGATTTTTGTAATTTGATTAAGTAAACTACAATTCGTTAGTGATAAAGAAATATTATATTACGCCAGTATTTTCCTGAATTAACTAAAATGTAATGGGGTAAATTTTAGGGCTTAATAGTTAATTGAACTTACCGTTCGTCCGTTGTGAAGAATTCACTAAATGACAATAATTCGTAAATGACAAAGAAATGTTTTTATTTTTTTTATATAGAAATACTATATTGAAGAATCTGGAGGTAGCCGTGATATAACAAGACATAATCTGTAAAAAACTAGTTTTATTTAAATTTGTAGTGTTTGCGTAGTATAAGAAATCATTAAGGAATGTCTCACAGCCTCCGCACGCTGCTTTTTGGAGGCAGAAATAAGTAAGAGACTGGTACCTACCCGGACCGGACTCTTAGGAAGAAATTTAATTTATTTAATTTAATTATTTAAATATTTTTTATAGCATAGGGTGACAAACGAACACATAGTCCACCTGATTGTAAGTGGATGCTATGGCCCATTGACATTTACATTTATCCTCAATTAAGAATCAAAACGCAGTTGCACTGTCACCCCTGGGGACTAAGATGGAATGCCTCGTTTCCAGTACAAAAGTTCTCCAGTTCTCTATACTCACCATACGAAACACAGCAGCATTAAGCTGCTATTTAACGCTGGTATTCTATGAGAGCGTGGTCCTTCCCCGGTCGAGCCGACCCATTCGTGCTGCAAACATAATATAGCTGCAGCGTGGCGCTACCACTTGAAATTCAACTACTGTTAACATTAATTTGAATTAACTACCATAAAAGATAAATAAACTAATAAATATTTTATATTATGAATCGCCATTCGCTTACAACTCAAAGCTGCCTACATCATTTACTAGCCTATTCCTTTCATTTGACTACTGAAAAGTGGACAAACACTGCGTAGGCCTATCGAAACGTGACACATTAGAGGTGAATAGATCCGTATGGTAACAATCCAAAACAAACCATATCTTATATGTATATCGATGTCTATTAAGGGATAACGTTACGTCTATAAATAAAACATTAGTACATGTGTTTAGTCTCTGTTCCTAACACTACCGGATTTTTAATTGATTCAATGTACTTATATATCCAATCAAACCTGGAGAAATTAAAAAAGTTATTTAAGTAATAATAATATACATAATAATGTGTAATAATAAAATATAATAATAAGTGTAAAAGCGAGTAACCCGGGTTCGATCCCCGCCGGCACCAATGAAATTGTTAACTGCAATTTTAAGTGCTGGTCAGCGGTGAAGGAAAACATCGTGAGGAAACCTGCATGTCTGAGGAATAAGAAAAAAAATATTTCGACGACGTGTGAAGTTCGCCAACACGCATTAGGGCAGCGCGGCGGACACTTACCTTGCCCTGAAACCCTCTCAGCAATGAGATGAGGCCCGTGCTCAGCAGTGGGACGTATATAGGCTGTAACTTTAATAAGTGTAATAATAAAAAGTTTAACATGGATTGAATTTCCAGCACTCACTGGAGAAGGATGGTAGATCTAGATGTTTAGTCCCATTATTTATAATAATGACAAAAAATTTGTTAACAAACACAGGGATACTTTTGAATTTATAATATTTGTTTATTTTATTTTATTATTATAACGATTGACGTTTAACCACAGTTTGCAGTTTAGTTAAATTTGATGAAAAGATATATTTTAATAGAACTATTAACTATGACCAACTTTAAACCAAATACTGGATGTCCTGATGCTTTACAATGTTATGATTTGAATGTTAGTTGATTTTGAAATGTGTCCTAAAATCAGTCTATAAATCTAATGCAGTAAATTGTAGCTCACACTAATACAATAGTTTCTACATATTTTATTTTATATAGTGTACAAATACAATTGGAGTACAAAAGAAGTATAAATTATACGATAGTTAATTTCATCTAAAACTAAAGAAACTCAAAAAAATCGGCCAGGTGCGAGTCGGACTCGCGCATGAAGGGTTCCGTACTATCTTAAAACACGTTTCTAGTAGGGTAACCCCTTTTATTTTCAATTTACTTGTATCTATTTTTACTATTTGTTGTTATAGCGACAACAGAAATACACATTCTGTGAAAATTTTAATTGTCTACCTATTACGGATCATGAGATACAGCCCCCTGACAGATAGACGGACGGACGGATAACGGAGGCTTAGTAATAGGGTCCCGTTGGTTACCCTTTGGGTAAGGAACCCTAAAAAAAGAACTCTGACAGAGTCAAAATTATTACAAATTTGTGACTTTTAGTAAACAGTTAAAATGTCAGTTTTATAATTACAAAAAAGTTCGTAATTATTATTCATTAGTAGTTATAATTATATGGGAAAATGTATTAAAATAAAGAAAGATGTATTATAATTAATATAGTAAGTAACAATTTGAATAAAGGCAAGAATTATTCAGATTTTATCAAAATGGAGGTCGGATATATATCCGACCTCCATTTTGAAAAAATGATAATAATTTTTGTTAATCAGTGTTTGCAACTATTGCTAGTCCTTTATATGTCTAGATATTTTGTTGTAAATTTCTATTTCTGTAGACTAGAGTCTAGTTCTCAATAACAGACCTGTGTTAACAATGTGTCTTTGACACACTTTTCGGCAGCTTTTAACGGACATCAAAAAAAGAGTTTAGGATTTGACTCTATGTTCATTTTCCTTGTACGTATGATGCGTCATGTTATCGTGTATTTTTTTAATGATTCATCTGTTATGAAATGAGTTTATACTGGAGTGATGCCATATAAATTGCTAATTAAATTGGAGGAAAAACTTCAACTATAAGGATGGCAAATACGAGATCAAACTTTAAGTGTAACTACTTAGACAGATTTAAAGTTTGATACGAGTATTTGCCATCCTTATTGGTAGTCATTCAGATTGTGATATTACTTAATCCGCTCAAAAGGGTATAAAAATTAATTTTTAAGAAATAATAAATGCCGACTAAATGGAATAAATCAATTTCATATTCTGAAGTTTTCATTTTACTTACTTCTTTTTACTATTGACGGATCCGTGGTGAAGTGGCTGAGTGGAGTTGATGCGCTGGGGGCCGCGGGTTCTAATCTCGCACGGAACAAGTATTTGTATGTCCTTGTGCAATTTATGTTTGTAAACTGCCCCCATGATACAGGAGAAAGTCTTAGTGGGTAACATTTTTTAAAGAAAAGAACAAAGAACAAAAGAAAGAAAAATTTTCAACACACTATGTCTCGGTACCGATTTCAGAATGTGAAATAATTATTTTCTTACTTGTGTTTAAATTAATTTATTAGATTATACACAATATATTGCACACATCATTGTAAATATACTAATTGTAAATTTAATAACCTACTACGTAACTACTAAAGCTATGACTTAGGATACTAAGGAAGAGGATACTAAGGAGACTAAGAACATTAAGGAGGAGGATACTAAGGAGACTAAGGATACTAAGGAGAAGCATACTAAGGAGACTAAGGAGACTAAGGATACTAAGGAGGAGGATACTAAGGAGCAGTATACTAAGGAGAAGGATACTAAGGAGACTAAGGATACTAATGAGGAGGATACTTAGGAGACTAAGGATACTAAGGAGGTGGATACTAAGTAGGTGGATACTAAGGAGGTGGATACTAAGGGGACTAAGGATACTAAGGAGGTGGATACTAAGGAGGTATCTCAAGGTATAAGTGTACTTTTAAATTAACCTTTTTTACGTATTTTATCACGTATATAAACGTATTTTATATTCCCAACATTTCGAGTACTTTACAGCACACAAGGTCATTGGGGAACTGAGTTGTTCGACGTCACAATGTCATAGTTAAAAACAGCTTCCTTCAGATTATTTTAATTTATATAAGTTATGGATCCTCCTCCACGAATGTGACGCCATAAAATCCATAAAAATAGTTGTATTTAAATGTGTAGTATTCACGTAAACATAAGAAGCTATTATTGTATAAATTTACTTCTGAAAATTGTACGATACGCGAGCAACTAGATTTTGATCCTCAAGTGCACCAATGTGATTGTTTATTGCAATTCTTATATAGCACGGGAAAAGCCAGGCTCTTACAGAATACCAGCAAGAAACACCAGCTTAATCCTGATATTATATTAACGTGAGTGTACGGAGACCCTCCTTACTGGAAAAACAGAATTTTAATCTACTGGATTTTTAATAGATATAAAACTAGGCTACATGTAGATGTCTATGGGCCACAGCATCCACTTACCGTCAGGTGGACTGTGTACTCGTTTATTACCCTTATTCTGTAAAAAAACGTGCTTGGCTGTAGATAAAAATATCATTAAGAAACCTGTATATCTAGAAAATTAAACTTTAGAGGACATTTGAAGTTAACACACATTTGGGCTGTGGGCGGACTCCTACCAACTTTAAATCCCTCTCTGATATGGGAGGCCTGTCCCACAGCAAGTAGGATATGCTATTAGATTAGATATATTACTTAATATATTAAAACTATAAGCTATATTAATTAAGATTTCGTTTCCGTCACTAAATCGCAGCTAAATCTAATAACGTTAGATCGACGAGGCGAAGGTAAGTAACTAGCACTTCCGGCGGAAGTCTCCCGCCCTCGAGCCGCGACCCCTCCCAAGATACACCTACGTCTCATCCGGACATACTTTAATCTGCAAAATTATATTTAAATCCTTTTTTACAAACGAATCTCCCATAAAGTGGGGTTTTTAATTCGAAAACTATATATATTTATGAACAACAAAATGTGTTCAATAACCCGTGTCCTTTTTTTAATTTATTAAATACTAGCTCTTTAAGCCCTGACTGAGCCTGGTTAGAATCAATTAATTTGGTGATATAAGAGAACGTTATTTGGATAAATGTACCCTGGCATAGCTCACTATCTGTTCATTAAGTTTCATTACAATTGGGTCAGCCATTTCGAAGATTAGCCCGCACAAACAGCAAACAGAATCACATACTGAAAAAATTTTATTTTTTTTTTTTTTTTAAATTTATTTAAATAATAAATTTTTAAAATTAAAAATAATTTTATTGAAAAAAAAATTAATTTGCAAATTGTATGTGGTTTTATTTCCTCTAACTCACACGAGTATCGGTAATGCACTCTACACTCTTTGAAAATCCTCTTACTCCTCGGCCAATGCCGAAATAATAAAACCACATACAATTTGCAAATAATTTTTTTCATAAAAATTATTTTTTTTAAATGTGTTTTCTTTTGAAAAAAATTATTCCTATATGCTTGCATACTGATTCTAATAACGCAGTCAACGGGAATCACAGGGTTTTTGTTACATGTTGTATATTTAAAACTTTATTCGATAAAAAAATATTAAGAATATTTTAATACGGTTAAATAAAAAAGTACGAGAAAAAGCGGGTGATATATTGAGCATAAAATCTTTGTTTCCTCGCTGATGATGCTGCAGGCTAAAAATAAGTAACAATCTTTATAAAATAATATATACAAAAATATTTTAATATAGCAGTATCATAATATATTTCCAATCCCACTAGCTTCGTCTCTTAATCTTCATTATTCATTCACGGGTAACATTGAAACGATGTCCTTTCAATGAAAGCTGTAGGTAGGAGGCCGAGCTTGTAAGACAAATTAGTTTGTGTCCCAACGTACTGGCACTCTACATAAGGATAATGGAGTAACTCCTTGCTCAAGCTGGCAGGAATCGAATGAATCTTAGAACTGTTGCTTCGGTTTGTGTGGTGCCACTATTGATATATCCTTTCGTAAAACTGGATATGTTTCGATTTAGATCGTCAATATTATTAAAATATCTCACTGTAGTGATCATTTTATAGAAGTTAGGGCGACAAAGCAAACTGAAATTGGAAACGGGTAATAACGTCTTACTGATACTGATTACTGTCAATTCTAAATAATAAAAAACTACGGTTAATACCCTCCTGACAAGCGTGGCAACTATGGCAAAAATCCCCCCCCCGCACTATGAGGCAATCTCGAGTGACGTGCAGTTTCGTGGTCACTTGGAAGAGAAGGCCAAATTGGCCTCTAAAAAGGTTGGCGTGCTCAGCAGAGCGGTACAGTATTTCATGCCGGCACACCGCCTGCAACTTTACAAGGCGCAGGTTCGGCTGCACATGGAATACTGTTCCCATCTCTGGGCTGGGGCTCCCCAGTACCAGCTCCTTCCTCTTGACCGCATCCAGCGCAGAGCGGCTCGAATCGTCGACGACCGAGTGTTTTTTGATCGGCTCGATTCACTGGCACTGCGAAGAGATGTTGCATCTCTTTGCATTTTCTTTCGCATATACCATGGAGAGTGCTCTGAGGAATTGTTCGGATTAATCCCAGCCGCCAAATTTCGTGAACGCACTACGAGGCAAACGTTGCGATACCATCCACATCATCTGAATGCTTGGCGGTCCACCACTGTACGTTTCAAGAGGAGTTTTCTTCCGCGTACAACCTCTCTGTGGAATAGTTTACCACCAGCGATTTTTCCGGACCGATACGACCTGGGGACCTTCAAGAAAAGAGCGTACTCCTTTCTAAAGGGCAGGCAACGCACCTGCAATTCCCTTAGTGTTGCGGTTGATCATGGGCGGCGGTAGTCACTTAACATCAGGTGAGCCGCATGCTCGTTTGCCCCCTCTTCTATAAAAAAAATCTATAGGGGAGGCGTACTTAACTTATCAGCAGTATACCTTTAAAGATAAAGATAAAGATATTTATTTTGTAAAACATGAGTAAAAAAATACAGGTGTTAAAAAACTTAAAACGAGCTACATGTTTTGCCATTTATGGCGTACAAAAATTATACTACATAATATATTAATTATTATACAAGACAAATTAACTAACCCTAAGAAATCATAATTTTAGATGTGCAACAATTTCAATGGCTTCTCGTAAAATTGCATTAGAGAAATGTCGCAATTCACTATTTAGCTTAAATAAAAAATCAATCACATAAGAAACAGGCAATATGTAATAACATTTGGCTATCAGATATTTTTTAAGATGTAGCTTAAAAAGTCTGGTGGGCAATTGTTTGATGTGTTTGGGGATTTTATTATATACGAGATATTTTATTTCTCGTATTATTGGCGCCAGACAGAAAATACTTTTATGCATCAATGCCGTTCTTGAACCAACTGCGCATAACCTACTATTGAGCATAGAGTATAATGTATAACTCCATCTTTTTGATAGTCTTATAGATATAGTCGTAGAATGCCTTATTATTTGCCATAGATACCACGCTTGGCAAGTGGGTTGGCAACAGCAGTTTTTTTATTCAGCAGCAGTCAAGAAAATACTGCTGCCTGTCTCCAGTTTCAGTTTATCTCTGCCGCCGCTTCGACACCCACGGTATGTGATAGTGGATATTCTTTTTCCGCCATTCCATTGAGTTATTAATATATAAATCAATGGCCACTATACGATTATGTAGGCTGCAATAAATAAAAAACGAAAAAGTCAACAAACGAGTACTCAGTCCACACAATGGTAAGGTAATTGGAGTCTGTGGTACATAGACAACTCAATGATCAAGAATCGAAATTCAGTTGCGGTTATACCACTGAAGATTAATAAAAAATGCACCGTTACTATTAAAACAAATCCAAATTACTTTAGCTATTCCATAGCGTAATGTCGTATAGCGTTTTGCTATGGGGACACGTTACAGACACTGAAATTGTATTTATTTTACAGAAGAGGTTCATTAGAGCAACCTATGATTTAATCTATGATAAAAATCTAAAGAGTCGCTCAGATAAAACTTTAAAGATATTAATATATTAACGTTGGCCTCTCTATAACTTTATGGAAATGTAACGTACCTACGTATACAAAAATAAATAAAAGTATTTATACAAAAATCAGTTTTTTACTACCACGTGAATACAGAATATAATGAATGACTCGTTTATAAACTCCAAACACTCGCCAATTTTCTCACTTAGTGCACGTTAATTATAATTACAAAGTAATTCTAGGGTGAAATGGGTCAGCCACGTGACAGTACTTTTATTATAAAAATTATTTATAGACCGTATTATCACCCTCCGACAAGCCGACAGCACATTTTCCGTCTTACTACTAAACGAGGTTTATTGATAGTCTCGGGTTTGAGCAATGATGAAGTGATTTTTTTATAGCATAACGGTGAAAACCGAGCATACAGTCCACCTGATGGTAAGTGGATGCTGTGGCACATAGACATCTACATTTATCCTCGATTAAGTATCCAAATGCAGATGCGTTGTCACCCCTGAGGATTAAGGTGGAATGCCTCGTTTCTAATAAAAAAGGTCTCGGGATCACTACAGTCACCATACGAAACACAGCAGCATAGAGCTGCTATTTTATGCTAGTAAGAATACTACTGTGAGAGCGTGGTTCTTCCCGGTTGAGCCGGCCCATTCGTGCTACAACCATAATATAGCTGCACTGTAGCTCTACTACGTATTTTTCTCACAAAAGAAGTCTCTAATGCCCGATTCCTATATTCAAGAAAAGTTTCATTCTCCTTAATGTTGTATTACAGACGAGGCGCATATAAAAATAGATTAGG